AAGTGGAAGGATGAGTCCCAACTGAGGAAAGACGAGGGCCGAAGGCCCGAGCTGACACCCATCTAAAAGGGAAGGCGAGGGCCGAAGGCCCGAGCTGACAGACATCTAAAAGGGAGGGCGAGGGCCGAAGGCCCGAGCTGACACCCATCTAAAAGGGAGGGCGAGGGCCGAAGGCCCGAGCTGACACCCATCTAAAAGGAAGGGCGAGGGTCGAATGCCCGAGCTGTTAACATCTAAAAGGAAGGGCGAGGGCCGAAGGCCCGAGCTGACACCCATCTAAAAGAGAGGGCGAGGGTGAAAGGATGAGTTCAAATGGAGGAAAGACGAGGGCCGAAGTCCCGAAGTGACTCTAAGTGGAAGGATGAGTCCAAACAGAGGGAACACGAGGGCCGAAGGCCCAAAGTGACTCTAACTGGAAGGATGAGTCCAAACAGAGGGAACACGAGGGCCGAAGGCCCGAAGTGACTCTAAGTGGAAGGATGAGTCCCAACTGAGAAAACACGAGGGCCGAAGGCCCGAAGTGACTCTAAGTGGAAGGATGAGTCCCAATGAAGGCTAATCTTTTGTTCCAGGCATAAAAAATCGCTAGCGGCGCGCGAAGCGCGCCCCCAAAGCCGTTAGGCTTTCGAACGGGCAGAGCCAAATTTAAACCAAGAGCAAAATTTTACTGCCAGTGTCCTGATATCCACCGCAGTGGCCAAACCCATCGCTAGTTTATATATATATATAAAAGTTTTGGCAGAAAGTGTCGGAAAAATTAAAGCTCTTTACAGAGTTGAGATAATGGGCTGAAAGTTTTACATGTCCGGGGTCAAATTTTATGCCGCATCTGGGAAAAATACGGACGGAAGATTTGAGGTACCCCATGGTACCTAAATAATAGAGGTACCGGGGATATCTTGGGACTGAGTGGACTTAGAGGAAAATTTCCGCTTGGAGGGCACTGAAGCATCAAAAGATAATGTCGAATGCAAAAAACTCGAGATCGAAATTTGAATTTGAAGGGTACTTATGCTTGACACAAAATTCAGACATTTCCTGTGAATTGTCGGGTGTGTCGGTATTTAAAATTCGAGTTTTTCGAAAATAACTCGAAAACGGATAAAGATACCGAAAAACTTCTGCTGGGAGGGCCTCAAGTTGGAACATGTAGATATGGGTAGGAAAAATTTCAAAGTCGAAAGTCAAACCCGAAAGTCGATATGCCTCTATAAAAATTTTGGTAAGAAAACTGTCCGACCGATAACTGTCGGATTTCTCTAAATTGAGGAAATCCTGGGGGCAAATCTCATAGGTGAGAGAGAAATTTTGATGGACAAGTGAAATTTCGAGTTAAAATAGTGGAATTTCGAAACTGAAGGATCTTTCGAGTTGAGGGAGGGTTGAAGTAGGGGAAGTTGAGGGGGAATTCGAGATTAGGGATCCGGGATTTCGGGATTTTTAGGGATTTTCGAATATGGTCGAATGAGTAGTCATTCGAAACCGGATAATGAGGGGAGTTGAATGGGATATATGGCAAAGCCGAAAGTCGAAGTTCGGAGTTCGAACTTCGAAATCCGGGTTTTTCGGGATTTTGGGATATGGGTGAATAGGTATTCGTTCAAGAGCAGGGAGTGAGGGGAGTCTAAAGGGATACTGGATGAGTATAAAAGTCGAATTTCGAAGTCGAACTTCGAAATCCGGGATTTTCGGGGGTTGGGGATATTCGCGAGTGGGTAGTCATTCAAGAGGGGATAATGAGGGGAGTCTAAAGGGATAAAGGATAATGTCGAAAGTCGAAGTTCGGAGTTCGAACTTCGAAATCCGGGATTTTCGTGGGTTGGGGATATTCGCAAGTGGGTAGTCATTCAAGAGGGGATTATCAGGGGAGTCTAATGGGATAATGGATTATGTCGAAAGTCGTAGTTTGCAGTTCGAACTTCGAAATCCGGGTTTTTCGGGATTTGTGGATATGGGTGAGTGGGTAGTCGTTCAAGAGGGGATAATCTGGGGAGTCTAATGGAATAATGGATTATGTCGAAAGTTGAAGTTCAGAGTTCGAACTTCGAATTCCGGGATTTTAGGCATTGGGAATTAGGGTCGAATGCGTACTCATTCAAAAGGGGATAATGAGGGTAGCTTAGTGGGATATAGGATAATGTCGATAATGTCGAAAGTCGAAGTTCTGAGTTCGATCTTCGAAATCCGGGAATTAGAGTCGGTATAAATATGGTCGAATGAATAGTCATTCGAGAGCGGTGAGTGAGGGGAGTTTAGTGGGAGTATTGAAAATGTCGAAATTTGAACTTTAGAAGTCGAATTTCGAGATTCGACATTTTCGGGATTTGAGATTAAAGTGGATATGGTCGAATGAGTATTCATTCGGTAGCATATCAGAAGGGGAATGCAAAAGGATTAACAAAAAAGACTAATTTCAAAGTTCGTAGTTCGAATCCGAGATTTTAGTCTGGGACTGAAGGGGTTTTCGGACTCTAACTTTTGACAAAAATTTTTTAGAATTTTTCCGACAACGGATTCGTACTCAGCGTGTACGAATACACTATAAAACCCGTTTTTTGTATCAAAATTAAAAATTTTTGACACCTCGAATTTTTCAAAAGGGGGGATTTTCGGGATTTTTTAAATCGTCATAACTTTGTAAGGGATGGGGATTTTTGAATGGGGTTTCCTTTATAAAATAGAGTAAAAAATTAGAAAATTTATAGCCCAAAAACTTTCGAAAAAAGTCGAAATTGGAGGTGTAAGGGTCGAATTTCGAAAAACCCAAAATTTTTCGGTTTTTTCTAAATTTTTCGGGATTTTTGCCACCGGTTTGGGCTGAAGGTATTTTTCTTGGATTGAGCAGATTTTTCTGCATAGGATAGGATTTCAAAATTTTCAAAAAAGGCTAAATTTAAGCAAGTTATGATTTTTTGAAAATTTTAAGGATTTTTTCGGCCAAAATTTCCGGGGAAAAAATTATAATTTCAAAAATCAAGATAGATATGTCAAATGATATATCATTCGAAAGCTCTCATCGTTCTGGCTTTAAAAATATTTTTTTCGAATTTTTTGGTACATTTTGACGAACATACAGAGGTTCGAACATTTGTTGGGTTGAGTACTGTACCCGGAGATGATGGGAGGGAGAGAGGAAAAACGATTGACAGGTCAAATGTAAGGAAGAGAGGCGAAAATTTTCTCCGTCTCTGACCATGCAGGGCAAACCGTAGAAGAACTTAGGGGTGAATTTTGTATATTGGGGAAAATATTATGGGAAGATAAGCAGGATCCTGTTATGGATCCGAAGCAGAAGCAAGCTTCTGCTTCACATTTTTGCTATATGTGGAAGGATGAGTCCGAATTGACTCTAAGTGAAAGGATGAGTCCGAATTGACTCTAAGTAAAAGGATGAGTCCGAATAAAGGAAAGAATTGGGTCGTTATAGGAATAGGGTCGTTATAAGAACTTGATCGTTATAGGAATAGGATCATGTTACGAGCCCAGAACCCAGCGACCTTTGACGACCCGCGAGGCGCGTGCCGCAAAACCCCGCGCGAAGCGCGGGGTTTTGCACAAGCGCCTCGCCTACGCTCCATAGGTTTAGGTTGACCATTTTTAATCTAAAAGGAGTCGCGAGGGCAGAAGGCCCGAGCTGACACCCATCTAATAGGGAGGGCCGAAGGCCCGAGCTGACACCCATCTAAAAGAGAGGGCGAGGGCCGAAGGCCCGAGCTGACACACATCTAAAAGGGCGAGGGCCCGAGCTGACACCCATCTAAAAGGAAGGGCGAGGGCCGAAGGCCCGAGCTGACACCCATCTAAAAGGAAGGGCGAGGGCCGAAGGTCCGAGACACCATCTAATAGGGAGGGCGAGGGCCGAAGGCCCGAGCTGACACCCATCTAAAATGAAGGGCGAGGGCCGAAGGCCCGAGCTGACACCCATCTAAAAGAGAGGGCGAGGGCCGAAGGCCCGAGCTGACACCCATCTAAAAGGAAGGGCGGAGCTGACACCCATCTAAAAGGAAGGACACCCATCTAAAAGGAAGGGCGGAGCTGACACCCATCTAAAAGGAAGGGCGAGGGCCGAAGGCCCGAGCTGACACCCTTCTAATAGGGAGGGCGAGGGCCGAAGGCCCGAGCTGACACCCATCTAATAGGGAGGGCGAGGTCCGAAGGCCCGAGCTGACACCCATCTAAAAGGAAGGGCGAGGGCCGAAGGGAAGGGCGAGGGCCGAAGGAAGGGCGAGGGCCGAAGCCTCGCCTACGCTCCATAGGTTTAGGTTGACCATTTTTAATCTAAAAGGAGTCGCGAGGGCCGAAGGCCCGAGCTGACACCCATCTAATAGGGAGGGCCGAAGGCCCGAGCTGACACCCATCTAAAAGAGAGGGCGAGGGCCGAAGGCCCGAGCTGACACACATCTAAAAGGGCGAGGGCCCGAGCTGACACCCATCTAAAAGGAAGGGCGAGGGCCGAAGGCCCGAGCTGATACCCATCTAAAAGTAAGGGTGAGGGCCGAAGGTCCGAGACACCCATCTAAAAGGAAGGATAGGGCCGAAGGCCCGAACTGACACCCATCTAAAATGAAGGGCGAGGGCCGAAGGCCCGAGCTGACACCCATCTAATAGGGAGGGCGAGGGCCGTAAGCCCGAGCTGACACCCATCTAAAAGGAAGGGCGAGGGCCGAAGGCCCGAGCTGACACCCATCTAAGTGGAAGGATGAGTCCACTACTCTAAGTGGAAGGATGAGTCCAAACTAAGGGAACATGAGGGCCGAAGGCCCGAAGTGACTCTAAGTGGAAGGATGAGTCCCAATGAAGCTAATCTTTTGTTCCAGGCATAAAAGATCGCTAGCGGCGCGCGAAGCGCGCCCCCAAAGCCGTTAGGCTTTCCAACGGGCAGAGCCAAATTTAAATCAAGAGCAAAATTTAACAGCCACAGTGTCCTGATATCCACCCCAGTGGCCAAACCCATCGCTAGTTGAAAAAATAAAAATTGTTTACTCGTTTAATTTTTTAAAGTATTTATTTTTTTTTGGAATTTAGGCCGGACCGAACAGGGGTGGGCCAATTTATTCAGAGCTCTGGTTTAAGATTGCCGAGTACTGGACGTCTTTTTTATGGTTCGATAGTTCGTAGAATTGTATTGAACCACATTAGGGCGTTCCAAATCAAAGCTTTGGGTTTTGTGAAAAATGCGTGTTGTTTTTATTTAAATCTTTAAGTATTTTCTCTTTTTCACTTTTCATTATTTTTGTCCTTTCTCAACAACAAGAAACTCTAAATTTTCCAAAAATTAGAAATTATTGCTTTTTTCATTATTTTTCAAATTTTTTCTTTAAAGGCCTGTATAAAATTAATTCCAATAATTCGATCAGCTCTAAATTATTTCCATCGTTATAACCAATTTAGTCAAGGTTTGGCTATTTGTGCTATTTTTTGTTCTTGGAATCTTTTACTTTATGCTACACTTATTGGGTATTTTTATAATTTAATTTAAAATAAAACAAATTGTTTATTTTCTTGGAATTTTTACCTCATTTTAAGAACAATTTTTCAGTCCTTATTATTTGGGCTCAGATCTATATTTAAATAGGGCACAAAAACGACTGGCAAGCCTTGACTGACCAGTGTCTGACCATTGAGTTCGATAGAAGAAGGACAAATGATTAATGATGGCTTTGATAAAAAAAAGGGTCGCTTCAGTGATTTATTTAAATTTAAATCCGAGCCCTATTTATTATTTATTCGAGTTCAAAAAATTATAAAAAATCCTCAAACTGTAGAATAAAAATATCAATTCCTTTACTTTTTCCATTTAATATTTTTTAATTAAAAATTCTTTTTCTATTTTTTTCAGAAAAAATTCGCATTTATTATTATCTTCTAAACAACTTTATTTACCCAATGAAATTTTATTTTTAATTTTATTTATAACTTCAACAATTATTTGGGCAAATGGATGGCTTTTAATTAATTATTTTTATTTTTTAACTCCAATCTATTTATTTTCAATTTCAATTAAATTGCTTGGAAATGGAGAAATTTTTAATTTAAATAAATTATTTTTAATTTTTGTTGGATTACCTTTTACAGGTTTTTTTTAATTTTAATTTTTAAAAATTAAAAAAAAATTTTTTTTAAGTTTTTTCAATTTCTCTTTTGGTTTTTGTCTTTTTTGAACGTTTTACCCTTTCATTAATATTTTTGTTAATTTCTCCATTTTGGATTTTTAAAAATATTAAAAACAAACAAAATTTTGTTAAAATGAAGGAAAATGATGGAATTATTACAAATTGTTGGTTTTTTAATTTAATTATAGAAAAATAGGAATATTTTTTGTGGTTTTTGACAATTTTCCTTTAAAAGTATCGAGTGATTCCGCGGCTACATAGCTTTAAATTTTAGGAATAATAGATTTTCTTTGACTACTCGCACAATGGATCCGTGTCGAACGTTGAGTGTCAAGTGCTTTTGAAGATTTTTTTGAAAGCATAAAGGACTCGGATATCATTATAGGAGACACAAGCACGGAACACTTGACACTCAACAAAACTCTCGACACGGATGTCATTGTAGGAGTAGCCTTAATCCTTAGTTATTTTCACAATTAGGTGTTTTAATAAAAAAATCTTTTCTTTTGTCATTTATGTGACTAGAAAATCCAATTTTCTAGTAAATTCTTAACTTTGGGTTTTTGATTAATCGAAAATATTTTTTATTAAACAATTTAAAATTTATTTTAAAAATTTTTCATTTTTTAAAGTTAAATATTCAAAACATCAAAACGAGTTTAATTCAATTAGAGAAAGGCAATTTAGACGTGAGCAAATTTTAGAAGAAGAAGAAGAAATATTTCCAACAAAATTTAATGGTGGTAATTCTGTTGGGGATTTAAGCAATAATAAATGGTAATTTTTTAAAGAAATTTTGTTTTTAATTTTTGGATTAGAAATTTAGACGAGTTGTGTTCTTGATTTTTTTGATTTTAAAAATTGATTTTGGGTTCCTTTAATATTTTTGTTCGGATTTGGGATTGTTTGTTTTCGAAGATTACATAGTTCCCCATTATAGCCATCTAAAATTTTTATGGATCAGAGGTCGATTGAAATTCCGATTTCCGACGATTTTTTCTTCTGTGTTCGGATTTCCCAAAATTTGAGCTGATTTTCGAGTTCCGACTTTTGAGCCATTTCCGATTTTCGGCACCTTCATTTCCGATCGACCTCTGATATGGATAAGCTAACGGGTGCCCTAAGCAAGCATTTATGAGACATTTTCTTTCGTAGCTTCTTTAGTTTGAGTCGTTTGTTCCATCTTACTTGAGAACCTTTGAGCATTCCCAAGTGCATGTCCCAGGTGTGTAGATATAAATTTTCTGACCTGACAAGAATTTAAAAAAATAATTTTAATTTTTCTTTTTAATTTTTACAAAGGTATTGGTTAATTTTTTGTATTTTATTATCTATATTTCCTTTATTGGACACAGTTGGTAATTCTCAAAGGCCTTTACTCGTTATTTTTGCAGAATTTATTTGTTGTGTTTTTATATTCTATTTAAATTATTTTAAATATTTTAATCAAAAATTAATTGTATTTATTGGAATATTGCATTTAATTACTTTTTTGATTATTTTATTTGATTATTTTGAGGTAAGAAAAAATTTTTTTTATTTAAAACTGCTGTCTTTCCTTTACTATGCTACTTTTTGTTTTGAAATTTAATTTTAAAAATTATTTTTGTATAAACTTTTAGGAACTTTTGAATTCTCTTTTTCTATAACAAAGGAATATATTTTAGCAGTTTTTACAGACAAACCTCATTATAAGAAAACCAGTTTATACCAAGAATCGTAAATTCACGATTATAGAAATTCATTTTTTATGTCGGCACGATCCCTGCTTTAATAGTAACCTCAATTTAATTACGTTTTTTTAATTTTGGGCCAGAGGCAGGGGGAAGGGAGGCCAGCTTAAGTACATATGTATACAGCGGGGAACGAGTTGTCACGATTCCCGAAATCGGGAATTAAAAATTTCTCGGGAACCCCGATCTCTCAAAGTTGGAGATTTTTGTTTTTTTTCTCGGCTCTTTCCCTGCTATACACATTCAAAAATAAATTAATTTTTGGCCTTAAAATGTTTTAAATCCAAAAATAAATTTTCTATTTTTTTCTAGTTACAATTAACTACCAACAACAACAATTTATTAAAACAATTATTTGCTTGGATTAATATTCCCCTTTCTTTTATTCTTCCACTTCTTTGGAAACAAAAAATAAAAACAACAAAAATTAATTTAAATATTCAATTAATTATTTGGAGTATTTGTTTACAATTACCTTTTAGTTTATTGTCTATTTCACATGAAGCTTTATTTCTTTGTTTATTTTCTGCTTTTTTAAATGTTTATTTTCAATTGGAATTTGGTAGGAAATTTATTCTTTTAAAAATATTATTAAAGAGAAGAGGATGTTTGTTGTTTTGAGAAATAATTTTGGTTTGGAGTTTGTTTTTAAAATTAGGGAAGAAGGTTGGAGGTTAAGTGAAAAGGCTATTGTTTAGTTTTCACTTATTTTTTATTTTTTGTTGTAAAAACATTAAGACTGGAGGTTTTTTGAGAACTTATAGTTGTCGACTCTAGAATTTTGGGTTTTGTTTTCAACTGACGTTGAGATAGAAAAATTAAGGAAGTTTGGAAAATGTATTAATACTTGCTTTAATCAGGAAAAATCAAAGTTTAGAGTGAGCTCGCAGCGTTGCTTTGACGTTTTTCAGAGAAGTGTTTTGCAAGGCAAAGTTGTTTTAAAAAGTTTTTAATATAGGAAGTGAAGCTTTTCTTATGGAGCAAAGCTTTCCAACTGCTTTTGTTTGAAATCTAAGCAGAAATGTTAGGGAGGGATAATGGAAAATGAGAGGGATTTAAACGTCCTGGGGACATTTTCTCATCTTTAAGTTTTAAGCCTTGAGGATTGCTTCTTGAGCATTTTTATACTACAAGTCGGCAATCGAACGCGAAAAATATTCAATTTTTTATTCACTATAAATTACACAAGACAAGCTAAATACAACAACAATTTTGGGCAAAACAAAAAATACAATAGCAAAACAATATATTTATTTATATCAAGTTTTGTCCATCTCTTTCCTCATTTTAATGTTTGTTGACGCCCAACAAAGTTCCGCATACCGAGCAGTGATGGCTATAGTCGAAGGCCGAGGTCCAGCAGCAGAGAAGAGGAGTAAGACAGAAGCCGCCGAGCAGAGTTATCACGACACATCCTATGGTGAACATATTGTTTGGATCCTTCACGACCCTCGTTAGACCTTCTGCGCCACAGGTGTTGCACTGGAGCTGAAAAAAAGAGAGATTTTGAAGTGAATTAATTTGAAGAGAAAAAATAAATCAACATACCGTCACAGGATACGGGCCACACATTGGATTGTTCATCATGGGATGGATCATCTTTGTTGTTGCAAGCAGCGATACGTTGGCGTCGGCGGAAGAGAAGAAGAAGAAGATTTGTTTTTTTGAAAAAATTTGTGGTGCTTTTATAGTGAAAAGTTGCCTTAATGTTAGTCTTAAACTTAGGTGAATGACAAGTGAATTAAATTAAATAATCAAGGATATCTGGTGGGAGTTGGGGAGATTTATTGAGCTAGAGATCTGATTGAACTAAGGAAAAGTTTGGAGGAATATTTAAAATATAAAGAAAATTTTTAAAATTTGTTCTGTTCACATGAGCTGAGATCCGAGTGAATTGAAGGGAAGTTCGGAGGAATATTTAAAAAATAAACAAATTTTTTTAAATTCTTTTCAAAAAATTTTTTTCAGATTTTTCTTCACCCAATAAAAATATTTTTAAATCTAGTCAAGAAAACAATAAAAATATTAATTTATCAGAATTTGTGAAAGCTGTATTTTTGGTTATTTGTATTGAAATGGGTAAGTAAAACTTTAATTGTATAAGAGGGAATAGTTAGAGATCGATATTATTGAAAAGTCTGGGCCTATTCCTGGGCTTGATTTATTGACCTGGGCCTGTAGTCCAGAAAAACCCAGGCCCAGGAAAAACCCATGAAGATCAAAAAATGTCTGGGCCTGGACTCTGGGTACAGGAAAACTCCAGGCCTTGCTTTAGGCCCAGCTCGATCTCTACTTGAATTGTCCTCACTTTTCAATAAAAAATTCTTTTTACCAAATAATTTTCTTTTCAGTATTTTTTGGAACTGGAAATATTTCTTCATTAAATTCATTTAACCCTTCATTTCTTCATCATTTTATTTCAATATTTTCTCCGTTTATTATGGCAGCACTTTTACTTTTAAAAATATTTATTCCTTTTTTATTAGTTTCTCTATATTTTGTTTCTTCTTCTTTTAAATTTAATCAAAATAATAATGAAATAATTAAAAGATTATCTACAATTGTTGCTTTAATTACAAATACTATGGCTATGGTAGGTTGGGGAGACTTTTGAGTGTCCGGACAATTCACCGAAAAGGGGTTTTTAGGTTCCTAAATTGGAGTTATACTTTCCACCAAGATTACCCCTATATTCTAGCCCTTTGTCTTGGCTATTCCGATCTCTCTCTTTAATAAAGACTTCGCTAGGATTCATTTTTCGGGGTATAAATATTATATCCTATGATGAGAGATGTCCAATTTTGGAGTAACTTTTAGGCAACTCCTCCCCTATGGCTAGACAACCTAAAAAAATTCTTAATTTTGGGTGTATCCTATAGTGAAAACTGGTTATTCTCCTTTGTGGATGATCGTTTTTCTGATTACTATCCATAAAACTGACCGTTTGTTTAAGAAGGGTAATGACAAAGATTTCGTTGACTTCTTTCTTCGGTGAAACGTCCAAATAAAATATTTTTAGTAATTTATTTATAAATTTTTTCTCCCTTAGGTATTCTTTTATTGTCTCAAAACAGACGGTTCTTGGCTTCAAATAGGCATTTCAATAAGTAATTATGTTATTTGCCTAGTTTGTTCAGCAGCAACTTATTTGTTGTTACATTTGGCTAATTGGCTGTTATTTTGAAGAGAAACGGATTAATTTAAATTTTTGTATTTATTTGTTAAATTTTCTGTGCAGTCGGACTTCATTTTTACATAAACCCTTTGAGGATAAAAAATGTATATAAAATCGAGACTATCTAATATTTGGGGATAAAGCCTAGGCATTTCCTCTACCCAATGTTAATCAAATTGAAAAAAATATTTTTGGGTTTGTAAAAATGAGGCTTTGTTTGCTAAGTAATTCTTATTAATTGATATTTTACAATCAAATTATCCCAATTTTATCAAAAATAAATTTAACACATTTTTATTTATGCTTAAAAAATTCTTTTAATTAAATATCACAAAAATAAAATTTAAAAAAATATTTCCTCCTCCTTCAATCAAGTTTTAAACCAGCTAGTAGAAATTTTGTCATAAAGAGAAGAAAAGGAAGAAGTAGAAGATTGTTGTTGTCCTTTAATCCCTTCAAAACGTTGGGGGGATTTTGATGATTGTCTTTTTTGTTGTTTAGTAATTGATAAATTTTTATTTTCGTTTTCTTCACCTTTCCATTGATTTGTTGAATCCTTTAATAATATTTTTAAAAAATATATTTTTTAAATTAATTTTTGTATTTTTTACTCGAAATTTGGAAAGACGTGGAATTTGTGCCAAACGTTGAACATCCTGAACACGTGGTATAAGGTCAACTAAAGAACTATAACTTTCTTCAAGTTGGGATTCTTTGTTAAAAGCAGTTATTGGTTCTGATTGTAATTGACCAAACATCATCTTTAAAAAATTTTTTTAATTAAAAAAACATTCTTATATGAAATTTAAAAAATAAATTTTTAATTGACTAAAATTAAAGCTTTTATTTATTTCCTATACACTAGGATTAGTTTTAAATATTCCCCATTTTAATTCAGTGTTTTTGGATACGATTTTTGAAGTCGATTGGCTACCAGAGATGGGTCGGAATACCAATTTCCGGTGTTTTTTCCTTCCGATTTCCAAAAAGATTTCCGACTTTTGAGCCAGTTTCGATTTCCGGCTCTTCCAATTTCCGACACGTCTGACTGTTCCAACCCACCTCTGCTGGCTACTTGGTGGAATGGAGCTCTGCCTAAGCAATACCCTCAATTCTAGATAACTTCGTTTTTAGATATACAGCACCACAGGGGAATTTAAATGTTGAGATTAGACTGTTCTCATACACATATTTTTGTCTCTATCTTCTAAAAATATTTTCTAAAATTATTCACAAACATACAGCAGTTCGTTGTGCAAATAATTTAGCATTTCTAAGTAAAGGTTCTTGTAATATATTCATTTCTATTGGATCCATTTTAGCTTCAATTTGTTTACTAATTTCCAAAAATTGTTTGTCTGGAAACATTTGAAAGAATGCTTTACAATCAAAAATTAATTGAACACAAATAGCTGGTATTGAAGCACAATTATTTAAACATTGTTGAAGTATAAGAGTAAATAAATGGCCTATAAAAAAATATAAAAAATAAAGAGGAAGGTAAAAGTTCAATCCCGGACAGGCTTTGCAAATCTTTCTCTCCCTTACAACAATGACCTCCTGGCAGTTATTGCTAGGCGCTTTCGCCTTACCATTTACAGGTGCTCTACCAACAGAGCTACCGGGACTTTCGCATTCTCTTTTAATAGATCTTAAACCCACGTCTAGTGAGCGTTTTAAATGCTAGCCAGCTGAATCTTTCTCTTCCTTTCAATAATTAAAAGTAGAGAAAAAAGGAAGAAAATTTATAAAAATATGGGGTAATTGACACAGTAGTTCGAGAAGTATAAATACTTGAAAATGGTGTCAGCGAAGCTTTTAGCAATAACTGACAAGAAGTCGAAGATTTCTACGCGGTTCTCTTTTAATAGATCTTGGCAAAAGAAACAAACTGGCAAGGGGAAATAATTTTAACTAAATTTTGTTTGGCTAACCAATGAACTTTGAGAGTCTTAGAAAAGAAAGGACATTAATTAAACAAAATTAAAAGATTTTTTTCTATAAAAATTATTATTATTCCCTTTCATTAAAGCCTACCAATTTGTTTAGAAACGTGTAAAGTAACATTTTTGGTAAATAAATGTCCAAGAGAATTTTGATTTAATTCTGAACAAATTTCTGTCAAAAGAATATAAAAATGAGAAGAAATTTGTGTTGGCACAAGAATTTCAACTGTTTCAGAAAGTTTAACATGTTCTGGCTCCTAAAAATTAGAAGAATTTTTAATTTGTTTTTTAATTAAAATAGAATTATGGACAAAAACAATTTTTCAATCAAAAACATTCTTTAAAAATTCCAAAAAAACCTGTAAAATATCCATCCACCCATACCAACTCGAAACATTTTCTAATAATTGTGAATATAAATTACTTGCACGAAAATGTTCATCAATTACACAATTCATAAATTGACTTAAATTAAAAAAATGAAACAGTTAATTTTATTTTAAAATTTTCTTCTTTCTCTTCTATCTTGGAGTGTAGGATTGAGAAAATAAAATTTTTAATTTACTTAATCAAAAAATTAAATCAAAATTTCTAAATAAAAAAATTGTTCAGGATCGGTTTGTTTTTGCCTGTGACGGCCCAAAAGCTTTTATGACATTATCTTCCATTTGGACCGCACAGGTAAAAATTAGTTGGTCATGAACAACACGACTCTATATGAAATGAGTGCCAGCTTGATATTTTTCCATTTTTCTTTGAGGCGTTAAAAACCAAGAAAAAATTAACATACCGAGGAACCAAGGAAAAATATCAAGCCGAGGAACTCCCGACACTCATTTCATATAGAGCCAACAACTCTATTATTTATAAAAAAATTTAAGCAAAAAACCAAAGAGCCTCTTCAGTAGCATTATGTAACAATTTATTACAATTCACAATTCTTTCCAAATTATGATTCATACATTGACATAAAATAGAAGGTTCGTGTTGTACTAATGCCAAAAGTAAACGAAAAATAGATAGCCATTTTTCTCTCAATTCTCTCGTTGTTATTATATTTTCGTTATTATTATTAAATAAAAATAAAGAATTTTTATTTTCTTCAAAATTTGTTTGTTGTTGCTCTGTTATTGGTTTAATTAAATTAATTTCCCATTCAGAAAAATTTGTTAATCTGTGAAAATTAAATTTTTTATTAAGAAAAAGGATTTTGTAGAATGGATGAATTTATCCTGAAGCTCTTTTAAATGGTAGGCTTTTATTTTTTCTTTATCAATTGGAATTCAATTGTCACTCCTATTTAAGTCTATTCATTTGTCAGTAATCTACTTAATAAATAAATTAAAGTTAATTCCAAGTAAATTAGAAAGGGTCACGCCCAAGTAGGCGCGCGTCCATAACGGCGCAAAGCCATAACTTGCTGGAAAATTTCTGGCCCTTGTCAATTTTGGTACCATTCTCTTTAGTTCGATGAGAGGAATCGTTTAAATCTCTATTTGGTAAGATTCGGAAATCTTGAAGCAAGTTATGGCTTGGCGCCGTTATGGCCGCGCGCCTACTTGGGCTGTACCCAATTAAAAATATCCAAAAATAGGAATAGTCAAAGGAGTAAAATAACCAAAAAACCTCCCTCAAAAACCTATCATATAATTTAAAATTTTTATTAAGTAAAAACAAAACCTTTCAACCATTAAAAGAACTTTTTCTGCCAAAACATTATAAAGTTCTCCAACATTTTCTTCTTGCCCTACATTTGTATATTTATAAACATTTTTTTGTAATAAAAGTAATTGTTCACTAAATTCTGAAACTAATTCTTGTAATTCTGTTGAAATTCCTGAAGCTAGTTGAGGGTCGAATTTAACCTTTAAATTTACTTTTTAAAAATTTTTTATAAGTTTAGGGAAAATATTTTTCATATCATAATTTAAAAAAATAAAGATAGTAACAGTAAAAATTAAATATTTCTTGAAGTTTAAGATTAAAAGTAGGGTAGCAACCCGATCCCGCCCTCCTCGGCAAACCCCTTAGAGCAGCTATTCCCGAAGGGTCGGGTTGCTACCATACTTAAAAGAGATTCTATTCAGCCCATAAAAGTTGAAACACCTTAACAATTACACCAAATAAAAAAATAAAGGAAAAAACTTCAATTGCTTGTGAAAAATTTAAAAAATTTTACTAGACAACTGTTTCTCCCAAGCCAAAAATTTAAAAAAATTTTACCCTTTATCATCCTTATAAATTTAAAAATTAATTTTTTTTTGCAACTTACAGCAGCTATTCCACTCCTTTGAAACGGCATTTGTGGTTTACAATTAATTAAAGGCAATTTTGAATGTAATTTCTTTACAAGTAAAATTAATTCTTCATTAATTAGTTGATTAAAACGTTCTAATAAAGTTGTGTCAAATAATTGTCTATAAATAAGAGAATATGTATTTGAATTATTTTCGTGCCCATCTTCTTCAATAAATGAATTTGTTGTTAACCAATCCTTTAAAAAATTTAAAAATTAATTTTAAGAAGATAAATAGGAAAAGATATTTTTAAAGGAAAAGAGAACTATGAAAAATATTTTTTATCAGTAAAGGACAAAATGATAATTTTCTCTACAAAATGAGAATTCTCTTAGGTTGATAATATTTTTTAAAACTATTTTTTAATTTTCCAAATAATTTTTTTCAAACCGTTTTGAAAATGTGCCCAACTGCAACAGCAAATTCTACTGCCTGTTCAACTCGTTCAAAATGATTACACATTGCTTTGACTCTGTCACGTGCAATTGAACAAACTCTAAAAATAAAATTCATAACAAATTTAAAGATTTAAGAGTTATGGCATTGAGGGGAAAATAACCCAACAAAGTCAATAATTTTATTAAAAGGAGTATAGTTGTAATTATTAAGGGCAACCCTCAAAAGAAATTTCTCAAGAAAATTTTTGATAAAATTAAAAAATAAACTCATTAATCCATTCAAAAAAAGCTCGTTGAATAACACTTTTATCTTGCAATTTAAATTTATTTTCAACACATCCCCCATTGACCAAAACAATCTCTTTTTCAAGAATTCGACTAGTTGAGAGTGGTTGATCTTCTGCTAGTTGCTTTATTTCTTCTAAAAAATTAATAAAAAATTTTTTTTTGAAAATTTTTTTTAAAAACCTGGCGCCCAACCCTTTTTTGTAACAAATTGAATTGCTGAAAGGAAACCTTGACCTCTTCCAAATGTTTGTTCAACACATTGTATTGTGTCTTTTATATGACGAACTAAACCAAGAAGTGTAGAATCAGGTTGGTGAAGGACTTGAGAAACTATTTTCTAAAGAAAAAAAAATTTTTTGAAAATTTTCAGAGAAATTAAGAAAAAACCATTCTCGATTCCAAATAAAGTTTTAATAATTCAGAAACATCCATTCGAGGTTTTAACAATGCTTGAGCAGCCAAAAGGGTTGTAACAGAACGCCAATCTACTTCAAACCCAATAGACTCCCCAATTTCATTTAAAAGTTCAATTCTTGATTGAAATAAACGTTCAGAGAGAAGAGACAAAAGTAAAGGAACATTCTCGTCTTTTTTGTCAAGTAAATGGTGTTGTTCAGTTTGGAGTTGTCTTTGAAGGTTTTCGGCTATACAGAGAGCAAAGGAACGAGTTAAAAGGTCGCTAGTTGAAGCCTAAAATTAGAAAAATAATGTCAAAAATAAATCTAGATATGTTGACAAAAATAAACCTAATTCTGGATCAGTTTGGATGAATCAATGTTTGGAAGAAAAAAATCGCTTTGGGTTCCAGATTCCAAAATTTTTCTATAGTCGGGATTAAAGTCGAATTCCAAAATTTTTCTATGGTCCGAATTCGAGTCAAGAAGTTCGGGTAACCAATCCGAACCCTGTTTGGGCCCTTCTAGGTCTGGCGTTATTTTCTCACCCAATTAAGATTTTGGTTCAGCCCAGAAATATCTCCAAAGTTTTACTTCACCAAACTCCATTCCAATCTCTCTAATAGTAATTAAAAATAAAAAAAACCTTACAATAAGAGGTAAAAGTGTATGTAACAACAAAAGTCGTCGACCAGCATTGACTACTGCCCTTTTTGTATATTCGTAAGTTGAATCAGAATTTTGTTGAGCAGAAAAAGAACGTTTTGTATCATTTAATAAAATTGAAAGTTCTGAAGCTATTTCAGTTAATCTTTAAAAATTAATTGAAAAAATTTCTGTTAAATTAAAAAAACCTTTTAACAGCATTAGATGCATCCAAAACATCTCTATAACGTCGACCAACCATTTGACGTAAATCTTCACGTTTATTCTCTGTTTCATTTCTGGAAATTAATTAAATTAATTATGTAGAATAATTTAAATATTTTTTTGATTATTTATTCCATGAAAGGTTTTGTTTCTGTTTTGTTGATAGGATATTTCTATATCATTGAATATCTTACAGCATTCTACCCAAAATATCTGGTAATGGTTTCAGAAAATTTGAGCTAATTTTTTGGAACTTTGGACATCGTAGGAACCTAATTTAAAGGAATCATCTGATTTGTAACAAACGTTGAGAGAAGTCAATGGGATTAAATATCATGTCAAATACTACAAGTTTTCAGAAAAATATTCTAAACTTTCAATTTTCACCAAATTACGTTTAAATTAAAAAATCTTTTCATACCTAAGTTTAATTTGAACTTGAATCAATTGGTCAATACTGAGCTCCCGCATAAGATTGTCAACATTTACTGGCGGCATTATTGTCTTTTTTCAACTAAAATTGTTAAATTTAAAAATATGTAAATTTCAAAAATAAAATTGTGATAAAACAAATAATGAAAATTATTATTAAAAAAATATATTTTATTCGTTATGTAAATAACAACACAAAATCAAACAAATTTTTAATGTGTTTTTACTTTTAATTTATAGAAAAAAAATAATTTTTTATTGTCAAAAACAATTATTTAAATATTTCCATCAAACAAAAATTTTTTCACAATTTAATGGTCCGATTCTCCAGCCTTTCCAGCAACACGTCGAAATTCTGCCATATTTGTTGCTTGACTAACTGGTGTTCCAAAAATACGAAATTCTTCAATTATAGTTTGTTCACCTCCCCCAATGTTGTCCTCAACAAAAAGTTGAATATTGTGAATATTCTAAAATTAAAAATAAAAATTAAGAATCGGGATCAATATTTATAGAATAGTAGATAGAATTGTTTTAAATGAAGAGAGGAAATGAAACCGAGAGTTGGTAGATGTAAGAGGAGATAAAAATTGGGGGAATTTTAAAGAATTCTTTTAAACTCACAAATTAAAATTAAACACAAAGAAACCTGAAATTTAACATATTTCAAGGCGATTAAATGTTCTTGAGAAAAATCAACAGTTTGAACAGGTTCTGAAGACTGGGCAGCATCAAATCCCAAAGTAACGGGAATATTTGCGAAAATCTTGACATTTTTAGGTCCTTTCCCACCAGCCGGTCCTCGAAATAGAATTGAGTGAATTTTGACAGGTTGAACAAATGGCAAATTAATTAAAAGTTGTTCGTCACAGTCACTAACAAGAGGACCATTTCCATCAAGTAAATGACGTAGTGGATGTGTATCTTCCTAAAAAAATAAAAGAAATTTAAGAAACAAAAAGGATATATAAAAACATTTGCAATTAAAAAATATTGGGGCTCTCTGCAGACTCTGAAGAATAAATAGAAAATTAGTATTCTTCCTCTATTCCCCACATTTTATGTGAATATGAAGCCCGAGCTCGGAAAATATAATATACATCATATCGAAAAATTTCATTCTGGGGAAACTAACTCGCAGTCACAAATCTCCGAAAATTAAAAAAGGGTGACACTAGACTCATTTGTTTGGGATAGAAAAATTGATTATAAAATGAAAATCAAATAAGAAACCTCATTTAAACATTCACATTGGCCTTTATCAATAAAATGTAGAATATCATGTTGACCAGGAATTGGAGAACTAACTTGCGTAGGGCAATTAACAGACCATTTGTGTACCAAATTTGAAAGAGCGCCTGCATCAGCACCCGTTAATATATCAACTCTTTGACTAAAAGAATAAATTAATAAAATTAATAATCTAAAAAATACCCATTTATGAGAACCAGAAATGTCGGCATAGCGTTAACCATATATTTGTTCTTAGTTTCTAGAAATGTAAAGATTTATTAAATAAAGGATTTAAATTAAAATTTTAAGTTTAAAACAGCTATTTTTTAGACAACTTTAAAAATTAAGCAGGCGAGGGAGTTTGATTTAAGGCGAGAAAGCCTCTAACCAAGGGAGACTATATATCTGTATGGATAGCGCTAAAAACCGAAACAAGATCATTCAAGACCTGTTTAGTTAGTACAGTTTACGAATTTACTTAAAGATCCCTAAAATTTGCTCAGAGGAGAAACCAGAGTTTCGACAACTTCTTTGAAACGCTCTCACCAATTTCATGACAAAATCTCTTAAAATTAAAAGAAAAACCTTTGCACTTGTCAACATCCACTTTGATAAACTTCAAGTTTGGGTACTTATTAGAAAGTTCATCAAAGGTAGGGGCAATCATCGTGCAAGGGCCACACCTGAAATATAATTAAAAATAAATTTTACAAAATTAAAAACCAAGTAGCAAAGAAATCAACAATGCAAGGAGCAGTCCCAGCATTCAGAATTATTTTAGTGAATTCACCATCCGTCTGCGGCTTTGCGACAGGCATTTCTTCCAAATTTTGAAGATATTGAAGTAAATGATAATTTTAAAAATATGGGCTTAATTTAAATAAAAAAATATTAGAAAAACTTCCGAAATAAAAATTTGGAAATACTAAAATAAATAATTTTATATAAAAAATTTTACTAGGTAGTCAAATTTATAAACTTAAGTATAGGCAATAAAAGAGGTCTGAATTAAATAAAACAAATATTTTTATATCAAGAATATATTTATTTCTCATTTAAACCAATTCAAGAAGATGCATGTCTAGTTCTTGACGGCGGCAATTTGGCCATCTTTTGAAAAATAGGAGGCAATGGTGCAGACTCGCACCTATTTTCATCAGGTGGCGGTCGTTCAAGCTGCTAAAATTTTAAACGAATAAAATATCGTTTTGGAATAAAAATAAAGCTACTTATTATTAGTTAAGCTACAACAAGTTTACGAGTACAACTATTTTCGGTTAGTCAAATTTCAAAATCTTGGTTAAGTTTCATGTGTTTGTCAAATCAACAATTTTTGAAATTCCCAGACTATTTTAATTAAAAATAGGAAAATCTTTTCATTAAAATCGGAGTTTCGGAAAATGATTAACAGATTTAAGAATAATTTTAAAAAATCATACGTTTACAACAGAAATCATACTCGATGCCAACACCATAAAGTTAAATGGATTGAAATAAGCAGCCTTATTTGTAGCAATACTTTGAGGGTGATCAGGAAAAAAAGTTCGCCCTACATTCATCGCTAACAATCCTTTTGAGTCAAAAACTGCGCCACCACTATCGCCATCGTTAGTTTGAATAGTTCCAGTCAAAAGTTTTGCGTATTCGCCTTTCTCTCCTAAATAATTAAAAATAAATTTAATCAAAATTAATTAATTCAAACCAAAAATCTCTTCATATGAATGAATAATTCCTTCTTGAGGACCAAGAATTGATCCATTCTTCCCACGACCGTAGAGCCTAATTTCATCACCTGCCCTAATGGAGTGAGAAATTGGAGGTCCATCACCTTTAACATCGGTATCTGCTTTGAACAAGATAAAGTCCCAATGATCATTTATATATACGACAGTTGCTAGAAAGTAAGACTTATCATCAGAATAAATAAGTCGTTTATTTTCCAAGTTAAAATTCTTGTGCGCGAGGTGACGGAAAGTAGCAAAATATGATTTGTGAATTCGTGTAACGCATGTAGTAACATTATTAATTTTGATGAAAAAACAATACGTTTTCACATCATCCAATAAAGGCATATATACTAAAAAATTTGTTTAAGAACTATTTTTCGAAATAAACTTTTAGAAAAAAATTTTTAGACCGTATCTGAAAGGAGTGCCTGGTTGAGTTTTTTTCCTTATTTCCTTAGACTGCCTAGGAATGGTCGATTTTCCTTTATATTTGATATTTTTTCGTAAGGTAAAAATGCGTAAAAGGATTAATTTTTTCCATTTTTTTGCTTATTTTGTTTAACTTTTCATACATTCTATGTTTATTTTTCAAAAAAATTCTGGTTGTTTTACCTAAAATGGCTTCGAAAAATACAAATGTTGGTGATCTTAATCGTGGCAGGGTAAAACACGGACCGGGCACAACATTGAACGACAAAACACGGGCTTGCCCAGGCACACATTGAACGACAAAACACGGGCTTGCCCAGGCACAACATTGAACGACAAAACACGGGCTTGCCCAGGCACAACATTGAACGACAAAACATGGGCTTGCCCACATACGGAACGACCAAAATACAGAACAATCAAAACACGGACCAGACCGTGCTTTCTGAAAAAAGCACGGACCAAAAAAACACGGACCAGACCGTGCTTTCTGTTCCGTATTTTGGAATTCCTTGTTTTGCCCTCCACACCCGATCTTAAAGAAGTTAGGAAAAATAGAAAAGGAAAAAAGGCCATTCTAAAAAAGAAAGAAAAAAGTCAAACAGGCACTCCTTTCAGATAGAGCCAATTTTTATATATAAATTATTAATTTTTAAAAATCGAAATATACCCGATCTAGGCAGCCAAGGAGAATTCAAGGCAGATCGCTCGACTTCATCCAAGTATTCTAAAATTTAAAAAATTCCAATGATTATCATTATCCTCAATTAAAATTCTAAACAGCTATACCTCTAAAAGGAACAGGTCAAATTGAAAAATATAAAGAAAAATAGTTTAAAAAGTACGAAAACACTAGCCTGGATTAAAAAGGTCATTTCATAAAATCTAACCAAAAATGTCTTCTTAGAAACACGTTAAAAACCTCAAAGGGAACCTTTCGAACTGTCAGGGGCCTTATTTTTTCTTAAAGAGATTTTCTTTTTAATATGAAAAATGAGGGAGAGTCGACCGCTCCAAAATTCAAAAACTTTGAAGCCATATAACTTTTCAAAATAGGAGTAAATTCGAATTTCATTAAATTCACATTTTTAAAAAAACTAACCAGGCGCTACATCAGCAACAGGAGGCTTCCGACGATAAGTTACTTCGAATTCCTTCCCTTTCCATCCTCCAGAAGGTGCCGTAAAAACCATATAATTATCATCAAATCTAAATAAGATGACATTATTTGAATGATCTTTAATAATCATACGGAACAACGAAGTTGTAGCCAATACTTGGAATGGAATACTCCAAGCCCCAACATCCAGGGAATCCACTCTCTAGCGAAGAAAATGCCAAAGTCCCATCAGATGAGAGTTCAACATTCTTAGGCGTTTTTGTCGTTTTGTCAGTTACATGAACAAACTGAAAAAAAATATTGAATGAATTCTCTAATTTTTTAGGTGAAATATACTTTATCATCAGTTTCTACTTCATTTCCAGACACTTTATCTTTCTCAGACAAACTAGATCCATTTGCACTGCTAGATTCCGATCCACTTGGACTTTCACCTTCAAGTTTACGTTTTTTTGCAGATTTAGGCATTTAATGATTTTAAGATCTGAATTTGTAAATAAATTCTTCAAAAAAAAAAACAAAATAAAAAGAAAAAATCAATGATTCTAAAATTTGCAAAAACAAAAAATAAAGAAGCCAAATTATCAAATGTCACAACGGTCAAACGGACAAATTGCCAACAGATGTAAAAATACACAATTCGCCAACAAAAGGAAAAATATTTAAGACTGCCCACATGTGGGGATATTTCGACTGCGATACATATTTGGGGAAAGTTCTTTTCAATCAAATTTATAAAAATGATTCAACAGTAGATATATTGCTGTTATGAATTTAATGTGATATTAGTTAGCATTTTTTGTTGGTTAGTGTTCTGAAGTTTTGTCAGCTAATTTATTAAGTATAGGTTTATTTATTTTGAAAAATTATTTTAAAAAATCAAGGCCACGATGGCGCTTACTGCTAATTCAGTAATTGCTTTTACATACAAATTTGATAGGAAAACGAGGACGAGTTAAATCGAATGCTTATTCAGCTTAATTTTAAATAAAATTTATTAAAGGACTTCACAAGTTCTTATAAAATTATTTCATTTTTTTAATCAAATTTATAGGCATTTGCAGGGTAAAGCGAATTTTAGGGCCCCACTTTTTTCCCCAAATATTTTCCTTTATTTGTATAAAATGGCCAGACTTCATCGATTTCACTCTATTTTCCTGCTGTTTATTAATCCCCCAAATCATCGACTCGTAGAAAGAAAATCTTGCATTTTTATTTATTCTATTTTTATTAAGCTAACGAAAATGTTGAAAATTCGACAATCCCAAAATTTTAATTAAGTCAATTTTCCAAAAAATTTTTTTTAAATAAATTATGTTCAAAACAAAAGAATCAAAAATATTTTTAAAATCAAAATTTAATTTAATACTTCACCCTTTCCTTCCACAATTACTTTATTATTGCCATCCTGCAAAGATTTAACCACTTCAGCATGCCATTCCGGAAATCGAGCTGATAATTGTTCATTTATTGAATTTGTTAATTCACAAATTGAGACAATTTGAGGGTCAGAACGGTCATTAGAAGAATCTGGAAAAAATTAAAAATGAGAACAAAAATTTATTTTAAAAATTGATGAGTCCAAAAGATCTAGTAGGGCATAGAAATTTGGCCCGAAAAAGACTCGGTGGGTCTGGCCCAATAAAAATGAAGCCTGAAAAACCCCCAACCTTAGCTATGATCTAAAGATTGAATGTATAACAAAAGGTGCCAATAAGCTAATGGACGATCTCAGGCACAAATCCACCATCCTAGAACCTAAACACAGTAATGGAAATAAAAGTAAAATCTTTTCAATAAAAAGACATTGTGATGCTTAAAATACGGAACCAATCCAACTATTTAGCTCAAATATCATTATTGTTTTATAATCAAAAACCCTCACTTTCAAAAGAAACAGTGCTATCTAATTGATTAATCTTCCCATAAACTTTGTCACTAGAAATCATCTGAGAGGCAATCTTTTCTGCCTTTAAAATATTTTTTTTAAAAGTAATTCCAAAATAATTTTAAAAAACCTTTTTAGAAGAAACACCCAATAATTGTCCAAGTCCATCAAAAGAAATATTTGAATAAAGTCTCGATGCTGCCAAAAAATTGTGTTCTACAACAGTTCGTTGTAAAATTGAAGAACCTTCAGAATCGAGTAAACGTTGATGGGGCATAAGTAATAATTCAAATTCTTTCAACTGATTTTAAAGAAAATTTGAGTGAGAAAGATTTTAGGCTATTGAATATAGTGAAAAAAAGATCAGACCGAACCGAGAATTCGTTTCAAAATCTTAGTTAAAGTCCTGATTTTCGTCTTCATTCAAATGTTTTTTCTAGTCGCGAAACGGTTTTAGTTAGGTAAACGAGGCTATTACCGAGATCGAGATTTTATAGTTCTACCAAATTAATAGATAAACACCTGATTTAAGAAAATCGATCTCGTTGGGAATTTAAATTTACAAAAAAAAATGTCTCAAAAAAACCTCAGAATTTTGTATAAGCCTCTCCAGATACATATTCTTCAAAAGCTGATAACAAGCCAATCCCTGGCAACGTTCATCTTTGAAAAGAGTATTTAACAGTCGGTTACGTTGAAGTCCTAAATATTTTTTTGAAATTTTTCTATAACAATTAAAAAAAACCGGGAGGTGCCAATAAAGTACAAATTAAAGCATTTTGAAGTATTTGTTTTTTCTCTGATGGAAGAAGTCCTTGCTTAATTGAAATCTCATAATAACGCGATGCTGCTTCAATAAATTGCCCTTGACGATCGAAAACACGAGCATAGAGAGCCTTTGAAAGGAAATATTTTTAAACTTTAGAATTGATTATAAATGAGGATTAAAACAAGAATAAGAAAGGGCAGGAAGAGTTAGACCAAAATGGTACACAAACTCACGTGTCGGGCTAACTCAAGGAACAGACAAATAAAGGAACGACATGTCAAGGAAAAGACAAGTCCAGGAACGACCATCTCACGGAATGACCAAAACTGAATATTTAAAAAAATAAAAAAATTATAATACTTTAAAAATCAGAATTAAAAAAAATCTTAAAAATTCTGATTTTTAAAATATTCCGTGTTTTGGTCGTTCCACGAGTTGACGATCCTTGATTTGTCTGTTCCTTCACTTGGTATTCCTTGAATTGCCCCTCACCCACGAACTCAAGAAATTTAGAAATAAAGGCAAATGAAAAATTTGAACTAAAACAATTTAATGAGGAAAATTAAAAACAGAAAAGGCCAAAAAATCACTTAATTTTATTACCCATTAAGAATAAATTTTTAGTAAACTTAAAAAAATTAACCGAATATCTTAACAAAAGTCCTCCATTATCCTTCACATCCTGTTGAAGTAAAGAAGCCCTTTTTACATGCCTATCCGCCTCCAAAATATTCCCTGCTTCCAAAAACAATTCTGTTATACGCAAATAAAGTTCCATTTTGAAATCTGGACGATATCCTCTGAAAAAAACAAAAAAATCTTTTTAAACTAAAAACAGACCGTTGTCCAGTCTCCAAAGGAATAGCAACAAGTGTTCGAGCAGCTTGTTCAAAATTTCCAGTTTTTTCATAAGAATCGGCCAAAATTATTCGAATTTGATTACTTTGTTCTTCATAGGCAATAGCACGAGCCTTTTAATAAAAATAACAAAAATAATTTTTAAATTAAGAAAAAACCTGTAATTGATTGAGAACCACATTTGCCAAATTAATAACCAAATCATTATTATGGACAACTATCAATTTTAAACGATCAGCAATATCAGCAATAAATTGACGAGAAACTACCATACTTGTACTTTCATTGTTTACAACTGGAATAAAAATTGAAAAATTCTAAAAAAATTTAAAGTTTGATATTGGGAACGAAAAATCCGCAAAAATTATCCGCAATACTTATGTAGAAATATATTAAAGCTTTCGGCCCATAAGGGTGGTAGGAAAGATACGAATGGTCAGATATAGGGTTGCCGTTTTCGATTCGGGCCGACGCTAGCCATTTTTCCGAACCGGCCCGACCGAGTTTTTTTATTGCCAAAATTCGATGCCCGACTCGATATTCCGACCGGACCGGGCTGGCAACCCTAGTCAGATGGGTAAGAGTGCCATAAAAATTTTTCTAAATTACATATTTTCTAAATAATCTAAACTAAAATTCTTTTCCTTACATAACATTAGTTTCCTTTGCAAGGAAAGGAAAAATGCGGACCGGCAAAGCAAAAAAGCCCAAATTTAATGCTTACAAATAAAATAAAAATATATTCAAAAATTACCAGTCTCAACAAGTTTTTGTATAATTTCAATTAATTGAGAAGATTCAACAGAAACATTTGGAACATTATTTAAAGAAAGAACTCGATCAAGTAGACAACACAATCTAAAAAATTAATTTTTTAATGTAAATGTTAAACACACAAAAAACTTTTCTGTTTGAATTTTTTGATCAGATTCATTTGTATAAATTGAAATAACCTCTGCACAAAATTTGTCAGCCATTTAAAAAAACCCAACAATTTTAAAGAAAATTAAAGATAAAAATTACTTGCTAAAATTATTAAATTATTCGCAAAAATAAGAATTTGAAATTAAACAAAAAATTTCAAAGAAAAAAATTAAAGAAAATAAATTTATAAAAGACCACATATACACAAACATAAAATTAATAAATTAAAACAAAAAATATTTAAACGCCTATCCTTCACCAGATTTAAAATGACCGGTCGTTTGCATCCCGTCTTGATATTTAAGCGTAACCTATCAATAAACTTTAACAGAAAATTATTTATTAAAAAAAGAAATACCACTCATAGGTCTTCTAGGAGGACTGGCAGGAGGCGGAGTACACAAGACTTCAAAAATCCCATTCCATCCGGCAATCGGGTCAGAAAAAAATTCTTTTCCATCAAAACTAAAAACAAAAATAAGTTTTGTTCAAAAAATAAATAAATACTAGACAAGATATTTTGATGGATTAGGTTTGGTAGGAACAATTTGATCTGTATACTTTAAGCCATAAGCACGCGGGAAAGCAATCTTCAGCATATGCAACGCCAATCTTCCACTAGATGACAAAGGAACAGCAACTATTTCCCCATCTTCACGGACTTTAACAAACTAAAAATTAGTTAAATTAATTAACAACTAAAAAAGAATACACGATGATCAGCCATCTTTAAAATTTTGTTGTTGATTGAATAATTTCCAAATTAAATTCTAAAATAAAATAAAAATTAATTAATGAAAGGAATTAAAAATAAATTCAAAAAAAAATTTGGTACTTTCATGCCCTCTCCAAGCAATTTTCTGAGGAAATTTCTTAAGAGGGTGACAAATAAAAAAATGTAATTTTTCTGATGACAATAGTTTTTTACAAGTTTATTTTCAGGATTAAAAGCAAGTAGCAAAGAAACAATACAAAGAGCAGTTACAACATTTAAAATTAATTTAATAAATTCAGCATCCATTTGTGGATGCTGAAAATGGATTTTACATAAGGCTTTTAATTTTAGAAATTTTGAGGTTGATGAAATGGGAAAAAAACCGGTGGGCCATTCCGTGCCGCGGGTTCCGTGCCGCGGTTTCCGTGCCAGTTGTAAAAGGGGAGGTTTCCGTGCCCAAATTTTAAATATATGAAAAACGGGTTTCGCGTAGATTTTTCAGTTTTTCTTACTTTCAACGATCTGAAGAACATGTTAAAAGGTAGCCGAGTCTTTACTCTAGGCTTTTCTTGGGTTTTTCAGGCTTAGGGGGAAGTCTGTCACGACTTTTTTCTTCAGGGAACAAAATTTTAATAAAAAAATGAGTCAAATAAACAAAAATTTATCAAAAAAATTTAAATAGAAGTCAATGCTTCGTTTCACTTATTAGATTTGTGGCCCTAAAGAGGGCCGTTTGGGTTAGGTTGTTGAAAATCCGTCAGCAGAATCACCTCAGCAGCAATCTGCTCGACTCACATAAAAACAATTCCAGGACTGGATTGCCTTGAATTAAAAAATTTAAAAATATGCTCGCCTAAAAATATGCTATAGCTCCCACTTGAACTGGGGCCAATAACAATAACGGAGACAATCGACAAACGATAGATATATTTTTCACGTTTGTCGTTCGGATACGTCGTTTGTCGATTACCTCGAATAACAATAAATATCTTTATCGTTTGTCGTTTATCGTCTCTATTATATCGACTGTCGTCGAGATTTGTCGTTTGTCGTCCGAAATTAGTCGTTTGTCGTTGCAAACGATAATTTATTACGGTAACTAGAGAAAAACTACGGTTTTTGAACGACAAATTTAGTGGATGCTCAAACCTGTCCCCCAAATTTATCGTTTGAAATTTAAAAATTTTTTTTAAAATCCAAATTCAACCTAAAAATTTCAAATAAAATATTTTTAGATAGATTAGAATGTGCTCTATCTTTTGATATAAGTTCCAAAAATTTTACTTTAAAAATAAATTTACTAGAGGCTCTCGCGTAAGGTACATCCATTTTTGAGAGAAATAGGGACTCATTCTCTCAAATAGGGCTTTAATTTTTGATTAAGCATCTTATAGATTTTATAACTATTAGGGAAGTAAAGCTAAAATTCTGATTTTTACTTATAGCATGTAAAACATTCTCCTCTATCTAATGGTATAAAAATTGGAGGGATTAAGGGGATATCGGTGGATTAAGGGGAATATTGGTGAATTAGGAGGGATATTGATATATTTGGAGTGATTCAAGTATAGATCGAATCAAAAGGATTAATTGGGATCAAGGGGAATATCAAAGGGTTTATGGATTTCGGATCGCCTTAACTTTTATATCCACAGATATGCCTTAATCCCGCTTTATCCCCACTATCTCTTAATATTCAGGGATTAAGAGAGATATAGAGGGAATTTGGGGATATCGGGGCATTTGAGATCAACCTATTTGAGGTGGATAATTTTTAAGAATTCAGGGGTTATCGTAGGATTGATGGGATTAAATGATTGCGAATTTGATATATTTTTTGGTACCATTCGATAGAGGACCCACGATTTCCTATTACAAAATAATATTTGTTTTCTTGCAAAACGACTTTGGGCCACTTTATGGCCAGTCAAAGTTTCTGTCCTCGGGTGTGTTTGAGTATAAGGAAAAGAGGGGAAAGGAGTGAGCGATTCTGTTTCTTCACTCTCCCTGTTTTCTTTACATTTCTTTATAAAGTTGAGAAAAGAATGCATGAGGCGCGAAGAATAAAAAGACTAGAGAAGAAATTCTTCTATTATATCGTTTGTCTCCTTTAATTTTTATTGGAGGTAAACGCTAAATGACAAATGACAATTGATAAACGATAATTTCCATAATATCGTCAGCTGACATATTCAGACGACATTCGATATATTATAGACGATAAACGACAAATTTGTAATATATCTATCGTTTGTCGATTGTCTCCGTTATTGTTATTGGCCCCTGGGGAAAATAAAAAAATTCAAAAAGCTAAAAAACTAATAATAAACCATGTGTCAGTAGTAGAAACATCTCCATTCAGCGTAGCATTTTCGCAGTCCGGAATTGTAAAGAAAATTGAAGATTCGTCCCGCTGAACAAAAACTATGGATTCGTCCCAATGTACAAAAACCCTGGATTCGTTCCCTTTGGATTCGTCCCATCTCAAAATGTCCAGCAGAGTAAAAATACTCAATTTGTCGAACTAAAAATTAAAAAAGGGGAATCATACCTGAATATATGTACATAATTTCTTCAGATTTTAAAAATTTCTTATTAAAACTTCCACAGAAATTTAAAAATTTACAAAACAAAAAATTTCTTAAACAAAAAATTTTTATCAAAAGTTTTACAAAGTCATGTCTCGTTTCACTTATTAAAATTGTGGCCCTAAAGAGGGCCGTTTGGGTTAAGGTTGAAGACTCCACATATCAAAGTCACCAGGCAACCACCTCAACAGCAATCTACTCGACACAAGTAAAAACAAGTCCAGGACTGGATTATCTTAAATTTAAAAAATTTTAAAAATAAAAAAAATGGAGTGGGAAGTGGAATTGGAGGAAGTAAGAAATCTTCCCAAAAAAGGCTGCAAAAATATGTAAGGGATAACGGCCAAGGGGCTTCTGGGGCTATAGCTCCCCTTGTAATGGGGAAAATAAAAAAAATTCAAAAAGCCAAAAAACTAAAAAATAAACCCTGTGTCTTTAGTAGAAACCTCGCCATTCATTGTAGAATTCTCGCCGTCTTGAGATATTAAGAAAATTGAAGAAATTTAAAAATTTTTAAAAATTAAAAAATTCTAAATTTCCCATAAAAATTATCATTTTTCGTTAATAATTGTTGTTGATTATTGCTAATTGTTGTGCTAATCATTTAATCTCTAAAGATATAAAGAAAAAGATAATACATAGCGGGAAAAAGCACAAAAGATTGATTATTAACTTAGTGGGACGAATCCATAGTTTTTGTTCAGGGGGACGAATCCAAGGGGGACGAATCCAGGGTGGGACGAATCCAAGCACAGCCATTAAAAAATTAAATTTAAAAAATTTTATCCAAAAAATTTTAAAATTATTTTTTATATTACCCCATTTTTAAATAAATTTTAATATATGTACCTATTTTTGTTTTTCATAAAATATTTTATAAAAATAATATTAAATAAAGAAATTCTTCCAAATAAAAAGGTCAAGGCCCATTTAATAAATGCAAGATTGACAGAATAGATCATATCACAAAAATATTTTTTTCCTTTTTATATTTTAGATTAATATATGTGCCTATTAAAGGTCTTATAATTATATATTTATCTAAATAAATTTATTTTTAAATATTTTTTGTCCATTCAATCATAATTTAGTTAATTATTTTTTCTTTTTTTAAATAATAACAATGAGATTATGCCATTATTTCTTTATTATTGGCACTAAACTTTTAAGTGCTTCTTCAAGATTTCTTCAAGATTGAGCCTTCAAGACATTACATATCTAAAAGTTTTTCTTAAACAAGTTTAAATCAGGCATGGTCACGGATACAAATCTTGGTATCCGTATCCTTCTAATGACTTTTTTGTATATTTACGGCGGATACAGGCGGATATCCGCAGGCGGATCAGGCATTTTGATATTATCTGTATCCGTATCCATGTCCATGTCAGGTTTAAATATACATATATATTTTTAGAATATTTTTTTAAATCTCCACATCTTCAGTTCCCTCTTAAGCAAAATCGAGTCATTTATAAAATTAATCCACAAAATTAATTTATTTCCTTAATATTTATTTATTTTATCAGAATTTTTATTTTTTTATTGTTCTAATTTATTTTTTTTAAATAATAATCGTGTTAATTTCTTTTAATTTTCTTGATCGCGTAACAGAAACAAGTAAAAGGAATTTTCATTAAAAATAAATATTTATTTATTCATTTGCCGTTGTTGAAAAGCCAATTTAAGGAAGGAAAGCTTTTTCTTTTTCTTTTCTTACGTCAGAAAATGAGCAATAAATAAATATATTAGAATGAATTAACTAACTTATCCTTCTAATGACTTTTTTTGGGATTCTTCTTCACTTCAATCCATCAATTCCTATAAAATTTTTCTCTCCAAATTTAGGTCAAAATTGTGTTGAGAGGAATTGGGGGGGGGGAGTGGGGAGGGGTGGGTGGAAGAAGGGAGGGAGGTGAGGAAGGGGGGAAGGAGGGAGGGAGGGAGGGAGGGAGGGGGATGTTTGTTGGTTAAAATAAAACCGAAAAATCAAAGAAAAAGTGAAGAAAAAAGGAAAAGAAGCGCCAAAGGCTATTTGTGAATTTATTGGGTTGCCGTTGCAATTCTCCCTTTACCTAACGATCATTCATTTTACAAATTAAGAAGGGTCTAAAAATTAAGGAAATATAACGGATTTTATTGGCTTTTTAAAAATAAAATAAACGAATTTATTTATTTCAATATTTTTCCTTCAGCCAATGAAGAAAGTAAAATTAAAAAATGATTTTAACTTATTTATTACTTTACTTACCTTCAATACATTAATTTTAATAATTTAGAAAGTCAATTAAATCATTCAAATTTAGCAATAATTCTCCTTATATAAATTTTATTGTTCCGTTCGGACCAGTTTTTGGAAATTTAAAATTTCTTCGTATTCGCATTTGGCCTATTTTCATTCCTCGTATTATTTACCAGAGGTGGGTC